ACGTTACGTTACTACTAACTAAAGTAATAAACTAACTAGTAATACGACACTACTACACCTACCCTACCGTACACTACTACTTACTTACTTCGTACTCTCTCTCTCTCTCTCTCTCTCTCTCTCTCTCTCACACACACACACACGCACACACTCACACAAAGTTACTTGTTCGATTTCCAAACCTCACAGAAAATTTCACTATTTCCTCCATGTTCCCACACTTCTTACTATAGTTTTGTTGGCCATCATTGTATTAATGGTCATCTCAATACTCAGTACTGTTCCCTGAATTGCACTCACAAAAACTTCTAGATACAACTGTATTTCAGTTTTGTTTACAATTCTTTAAACTCTTCACTCGATGCAATGAAAAATATAAAACCCCACTAACTTTAGTGTCCAAAAATTCCCCTTGCTGGCTCCTCTTTCACGGATTTATTTATCATGGTTCTATGTAATAGCCCAGAATTATCCTTGTGGATGCTAACAATGTGATAAATTGGCATTGATTTTCAGGTCATGGCTCCTGCAAGTTCGAGTGTCTTCCATGATCCCTCTGTAATTTCTTATATTTCTCCTCTTAAGGCATCAGTCAATTTTATCAAAAACGTATCACAAATAAATGTTTTGAGGTCATGTTTGGAATGTTTCGGCAATGGGAGGAACAAAAATTATTCCAATTCTTCATTACTCAATACAAAATTCTTCCTTAATATCCATTTTATCAAGATGTATTTCTCGTGCACATTAGAATTCCTCTCAATTTTTTCCCACAATTTGTGATGGATCAGATAAAGATGACCATTTTTTCTTGTGTGACGTAAATTTCTAAATAAGCGTGACTGAGTGAAAGAGAAGATTCCACTACCTGACAATTAGCTACCATTTGCTACTTCCTAACACACTTTCAAAGCTTTAAAGCATACCATATAAAAGTTCAATTCGGCCTACTCCACAAACAAATCCAGTACAGATCGCGTGGCACAATTTTGGAGAGCTATATAACTGCGTAAAACGATATGCAGACATGATATGAACTTTCAATTTCATGTAGGTAGATGCAACAATACAATTACAATATCCCAAGAAGAAATAACTTTTAACCTAAGAGATGAACTCAGCACACGAATTCTTTGGCTTTTGAACTTTGGGATACAAACAAACATGTTTATGCTTACATCAGAAGAGCAGAGATGCCCAAGCACCTATGAATGCAAATCCACCAAAGGGTGCCAAGGTGGAATACTTCCTGTCTTCAAGCAATGCCACGGTATAACACCTGCCGTGAGTGTTCAGAAATTTAATCAAGAATCATCCCGAAATGAGAGACATCTAACAGAAATTAAGCATGACACAAAAGGACTTGTTTGCATGAAAATGATGCCAAAAAACAGAGCATGACTTCCAGGATTTATTTTGCTGAAGCCTTCGTTATTTCCTAGGAAGATTACCATTGTTTTAAGGAACAATTTTGAGTTCCCGTTCCTTTTTTCTGTTATTATTTTCTTATAGTGGAGCTTAGTAACAGGCTGGACCATAGGTTACAGCTCTGGAAGTAATCATAAAGTTGATTGTCGAATATTTAATTCTGACTCATTACCCTTATGTAAGAAGAAATTGTTGGAACTCATTTGCAAGGAACCCCCTCACTAAATCTGACAAAAAGCACTTCAATATTATTGTGTGTGTATTTTGTGAGGCTTGAAATGCATGTGGAACTTGTGACTAATGCTCCTAGAATATTGACAGTAGCAAGAGGATAGCAAAGAAGCAACTAGAGCTTGGCCCCAAGCATTAGAATGATGTCATCCAAAGCAAGCATCTTTTGCATTGGACACCATGGAAAGGTGTCACAAATGGTGTTGTTATGAAGAGAAATCCTTCTCTATTAACCTACCTTCAATATTTTCAACCTAATTTTCAATCTCAAATTTCATCATGGCCATTGACATCATCATTTCAGATTCTGGATAGACAAATCATGCATAGAACTTGTTGGAGTAGGAGAATCCTAACATCACATTTCATCCTATGACTATGCAACAGAATATATACATAGTTTATTTGTTCTTGACCGAAGGAATTTCTTACCCTCGATTATTTATATAAACATACTTTAGGACTTAGTGAGGTAGGATTTAGTTTCCTATGCAATTGAGTTAGAAGAATATCATTGCATTAGAAATCTTGGCCAAGCCATTTCCTGGGTGCTCTGTCAAAAAGCCCATAGGATTTTCTATTATAGAAAAACCAAGGAAAGAGGTTGCATGAATAGTCCCAAATAAATTGAGCAGATTAACCACATATAGTCACCAAGAGCAAGCAAACTTTTAGCATTATGTATCTCTTAAAGTATTCTAGAGAGGGAGGCTTTGAATCACTTGTTCTATGTGCTTCTCGCTTAACTTCTCTTTTTCTTTTTGATAGATAACAAATCTTCTAAGGGTTGATTGAAAATGCAGCCAAATTGGAATAACCACAACAGGTAACAATGAGTAACATAAATAAAGCCTGGGGAGAAGGTGTGCAATCCAAATGAGAGTACCCCTGAACTTCCTAAGCAAGAAAATCTATCTCCCAATTAACTTCTCTTTGCACATGGGAATGGGATAAAGGCTTCCATTCCTCTATAACATTAACACTTCTTCCATCATGATAACTAATCAATAGGAGTAACCATCTCTTCATGTTCCACCTAGGGAATATTAAATCAACCTCCACAATCAACAGCTCCTCTAAGACAAAAACAAAACCTCAATTCAAAAAAGCTCTCACCTTGCCTCTGTAGAATCATAAATGCCAACAAAAGCCTTAAAAGTTCTTGAATATCCTATCATAGCTATGTGAAATTAAGCCCCCAAACCAGCTGGTCCTGGATTCATGCTCCTATTCTCAATCGATTGCATATGCAGGTGAGCCCTAGTAGACACACTTACACATCATCATCATCATCATCATCATCATCATCATCATCATCATCATTATCTGAGCCTCATTCCAACCATTTGGGGTCGGCTACATGAATCCTATTCCGCCATTCCACTCTATCAAGTGCCATACCCTCAGACTATAAGTTTCCATATATCTTCTCACTACTTCTATCCATATCCTTTAGGCCCTTCCGTTTTTCCTTTTAGAATCTTCCACTTGAACTAAATCATCCCTTGATAGTTCGCACAACTCTGTATATCTCCTTTGTTCTTGTAAATAGGAACCACAATACTTTTCCTCCATTCATCTTGCATTCTCTTTGTTCACAAAATCTTGGTGAACAACTTGGTCAACCAGAATAACCCAATCTCTCCCATCTATTTCTAAAACTCTAATGAGTTACCATCAGGTCCTAAAGCCTTTCCCATCTTCATCTGAGATACCATCTGGTTTTAAGCTTCTCTCACTTCAGATATCCTAATTCTACGAAAGTATCTATGACCTCTGACCTCATTTATGTCAATGGTTCCTCCTAACGATGAGCTCCCAGAAATGGTCGTCATTTAATAATACATGAAAATAAATTCTCCACCTTTCATTGACCCCGTCATCCTCCACCAACACCCTCTGATCCTCACTCTTAATGCCTTTAACATGATCTAGGTCCATTCCCTCTCTCATTTTTGCTAGTTTGAAGACATCTTTTTCACTTTCTCTTGTCCCCAATTTATTGTATAGGTCATCATATGCCTTAAGCTTGGTCTAAGTATTTTCTTAGCATTCCTTTTGACATTTCTAAATTACACACTTCCACACAATTATCATAATTCAATTTGAACATTTAATGTCCCACTTTGAGCTATATATGACTTGATCCAAGATATTTGGCAAACACAAGGTAAGTCTCGGATCCATTTTTTTGGCAAAGTTTTTAAAATTTTAGCTCAGTTACATTTTTGGATTCACTGTTGTCTCACATCACATCAACATACTGCCACAACCAGCTTATTAACATTGATGAAATACTGATATTACTCTTCAAGCCATAAATGATGCGATCTATATATTTGCGTAACATGTGATCCCTCCATTGATAATCTTATTTTGAACTTTATCTTGCATCCCATCAAACTGTGACTTCAACCATGGTTTCTCCATAGTAATGCTAGCAGGTGTGACACCAGGGATTCTCCATTATCGAGGTCTTGTGAAGCCCATTAATGCCAAATAAACATAGGTATTAAATGAAGAATTTTAAAAACAAATGCAAGTTTAGTCATACTTCCAACCATTACTTGAATGAAATCCTCACATCATGATCAAATCCAATTAGAATTTATTCCAACTACACTCTCCTACATAAAAAGGAACATCCATAAGAAAATGTAAAAAGTAGGATACCAAAAACTCTTAGGATTTGCTAAACTCTGAATCAGCAAACTTGAAAAGGATTCCAAACAAAAATTGTGCAGTTTGTGGTCCAAGGAATTCGAATTCGATTACGGATTCAAATTCAAATTAATCTAGGCACAATTTGAAATTGAATGGAAGTGAATTTCAAGGAAGTAGTGGGGTGCCTATTTAGCCATGTCCCCAGATCCATAGCCACTCTACAGCTCTCCTGATGGGATGGAGGGCCAAACACCAACCTATCAGTCAGCCTTGATGAAAGATCAAGAGACCTTGATACAGCAAATGACAAAGATACAAATAAGGGTTTTGGATAAGAAATGCCACTGTAACACATGCTCAAGGCGAGAGGAAAAGTCGAGATTTGGGGCAAGAAGACCCAAATGGAAGCTTCTTCAAATTGAGTGTGGGTATCATAGTTTCCAGGATTGCCCAACCCAAGTGGTAATTCCGCTTTGGAATCCTACTCCAGCACTCCAAGAGAGGGATCTTCAAGGCATCTCAATGTTTAAACTTGTGGATCTCGAACCCCACTGCTGGGGATTGAGATCCCAAAAGGTTGAGAGCGATCCCAGCGTTTCGAAGATTATAATGTTTCATTTTTATAAATATTTTTATACAGTGTAATCTTCATTTATTGAGCAGCTCCAAAAAGTTGGGAGCAAGATCCCCAAAAGGTTGGAATCAAGAACCCCAAAAGGTTGGAATCAAGAACCCCAAAAGGTCTGATTGAGATCTCCAGAATATGCATTGTACGAATGACATTCTGTACCATAGTGATCTTCTAGTTTTTAGAATCCTTCACTTACAGTCCCCAAATCACTTCCCATCTGTCCAGTTCCAACAAGTATGGTGGAGACACGTTTTAATCCTAGACAAACGTTCTCGACAGGATCAATAGCTGAAAATCAATTTGGACCTCCATAATGTCTCGAGATTTACAGAGAGGAAATCATAGGCAAGAAAAGGGGCACTTTCCTTTGCTAACCATTTTTCCATCCAGAAAAATTCCATTACAAGGCCATTGCAGGATGTTCATCAAAGTATACCTAAATCAACAATCAGCAGGCTGCTGCAATGTAAAATGGGGATGATGGAATCAACAAAGAAGGGGAGAAAGGGGGGTGGGGAGCAGAAGAGAATGCAGGAAACAATTCCACCCATAAGAAAAAACAAAAGATGGTGATGAATCAAACAAATTGTGATGCAGCCCAGAATACTGCTCTCGAGTATCTAAACAAAAGAGATAAACTTACAGTTTACAGGAGGAATCATAGAAGGGAAAATTAGTCATTGAGTCTATCATTTCATGTCTTTTCTTGAGTCCTTTTATTCTCTTAGGCGTAAGTAGTAATTTCTAGAGTTTTATATGTCGTTTTATTCACTTAAAGTCATTATAGTAAAGGGCCATGATTAGATTAGATGGATGGCCAGAATTAAGTCTTGTTTAGGGTTCTCTTATATAAAGGATGTACCCAAGCATAATGATGGCTTATGTTATGGACTTTATTCAAAGCCTAGAGCAGCCATTGCTCATTCTCTTA